CCGAGAAATATCGATTTTACAATATCTTTGCTATTTTCATTATTCATGTATGTCAAAGGTCATTTTCAACAATACTGGTTATGTACAGTAAGTATGTAATAGTAATTTGTAGCATACAAGGTCACCAAAATAAATTTTATTTATTCCTAGTAAATTTCTAAAGAAGAAATATGAAAAATAGAAGATATTTTTCAGGGAATGTATTGGTGTGATATTGTTTTTATAAAGTACATTGATAGCTAAAAGGAAAATTATATTACACCAAAGGGTTGCAATAAGTAATTGTGACTACAAAAATATGTCCACACAATAGAAAAGTGGTAGAAATTCTATTTTCCCCACAATGACAAATGATTAACCTATTAATGGTCACTGTATCCAAAATTGGATGATTGACAGTAATAGGTTACAAATAGAAACCTATAATTATTAGAGTATTTTTATAAACCTATAATTAGCACCAAACTCTTTAGAAATTTATAAACACTAGAAAATTCTTATTTGAATTTTTGCTACTAACAGCAGCTGTGAAAATTTCATGGTTTTCCTATTTTAATTATTTGCTTTTCTTAAGTTCAAAAGACCAGAGAGGAGTGTATCATCTGGTTGTCACTCAACTCCAGTCTTTTGAACAGGAGTACAGGTTTCCTTTTTCCCTGTTTAAAATTGGGTTTCTTCTAAAGTCTTCCCATTCTCTCTCATTTCCAGTAGCCCCTTGTGCCTTGGTGGCATTATCACCTTGCTTGGGGTGAACTATTTAAGAAAACAGCTAATGACTGAATAAGCTTGCTGTGAGTTCTATAACTATAAAATGTGTGGAAATGCCCCCCCCCTGCATCATTAAATATTTCAGCTTAACAAGAAAATATTGCAATGAGAATTATAAGAACGAATGAAGGTCATTATTTAGAAAAGCAAGAGAATAAAAAAATGAAAAGATTAAAAATTGACAAGGTTTTTGATTTTACTGAAGCAGGCATTAAACACAAGTGTTATCAGCACTGCTATCTTTTCTTTCTTTCTTTCTTTGTATGCTTTCTTTTTCACAGTAGTAGTGGTAGAAGAAGAGAAAGAAAGAAGAGTAGAAGAAATAGGGAGGAGAGAAAGAGGAGTTAGGGAGAGAAGGAGAAGATGAAGGGAGAGAGGAAGAAGCAGAGGAGAGAAACTAAAGGGAGAGAACCTGGAGTGGAAGGAGGAAGAAGAATAGCTGGGAAGAGAAGAGGAGGAAGAACAGCTCGGGAGAGAGGAGGAATAGTTAGAATGAGAGAGAGAAAGAAAAGCTGGAGAGAGAGACAGAGGAGGAGAAGCTGGAGAGAGAGAGAGGTATGAGAAGAAGCTGGGGAGACAGAGGTATCTGATTAAGCTGGTGAGAGAGAGAAAGTAGAAGTAGCTGGAGAGAGAGAAAGAGATGATGATGCTGGAGAGAGAAAGAGAAGATGATGCTGGAGAGAGAGAGAAGAGAACATGCTGGAGAGAGAGAGAGAGAGAAGAGAACATGCTGGAGAGAGAGAGAGAAGAGAACATGCTGGAGAGAGAGAGAGAGAGAAGAGAACATGCTGGAGAGAGAGAGAGAAGAGAACATGCTGGAGAGAGAGAGAGAAGAGAACATGCTGGAGAGAGAGAAGAGAACATGCTGGAGAGAGAGAGAGAAGAGAACATGCTGGAGAGAGAGAGAGAGAGAAGAGAACATGCTGGAGAGAGAGAGGAGAAGATGCTTTGAGTGAGAGAGAGAGGAGAAGATGCTGGTGAGAGAGAGAGGAGAAGATGAGGGTGAGAGAGAGAGAGAGAGAGGAGAAGATGAGGGTGAGGGTGAGGGAGAGAGAGAGGAAAAGATGCAAGGGAGAGAGAGAGGAAAAGATGCAAGAAAGAGAGAGAGGACAAGATGCAAGGGAGAGAGAGAGAGCGGACAAGATGCAGGTGAGGGAAAGAGAGAGAGGACAAAATGCTTGTGAGAGAGAAGATGATGCTGGAGAGAGAGAGATGACAGAGGAGAAGTTGAAGTAAGAGAGAGACAAAGGATGACATACTGCAGAGGGAGGGACAAAGAATGAGAAACTGGAGACAGAGAGAGAGGGGCAAAGAATGGGAGAGAATAAGATGCTGCAGAGAGTGAGAGAGCGGCAAAGAATGAGAATCCAGAGAGAATGAGAGAGGGGCAAAGAATGAGAAGCCAGAGAGAGTGAGAGAGGGGCAAAGAATGAGAAGCCAGAGAGAGTGAGAGTGGGGCAAAGAATGAGAAGCCAGAGAGAGAGAGAGGGGCAAAGAATGAGAAGCCAGAGAGAGTGAGAGAGGGGCAAAGAATGAGAAGCCAGAGAGAATGAGAGAGGGGCAAAGAATGAGAAGCCAGAGAGAGTGAGAGAGGGGCAAAGAATGAGAAGCCAGAGAGAGTGAGAGAGGGGCAAAGAATGAGAAGCCAGAGAGAATGAGAGAGGGGCAAAGAATGAGAAGCCAGAGAGAGTGAGAGAGGGGCAAAGAATGAGAAGCCAGAGAGAGGAGAGAGGGCAAAGAATGAGAAGCCAGAGAGAGTGAGAGAGCGGCAAAGAATGAGAAGCCAGAGAGAATGAGAGAGGGGCAAAGAATGAGAAGCCAGAGAGAGTGAGAGAGCGGCAAAGAATGAGAATCCAGAGAGAATGAGAGAGGGGCAAAGAATGAGAAGCCAGAGAGAGTAAGAGAGGGGCAAAGAATGAGAATCCAGAGAGAATGAGAGAGGGGCAAAGAATGAGAATCCAGAGAGAATGAGAGAGGGGCAAAAGAATGAGAATCCAGAGAGAATGAGAGAGGGCAAAAAGAATGAGAAGCCAGAGAATGAGAGAGGGGCAAAGAATGAGAAGCCAGAGAGAGTGAGAGAGGGGAAAAGAATGAGAATCCAGAGAGAATGAGAGAGGGGCAAAGAATGAGAAGCCAGAGAGAGTGAGAGAGGGGCAAAGAATGAGAAGCCAGAGAGAGTGAGAGAGGGGAAAAGAATGAGAATCCAGAGAGAATGAGAGAGGGGCAAAGAATGAGAAGCCAGAGAGAGGAGAGAGGGGCAAAGAATGAGAAGCCAGAGAGAGGAGAGAGGCAAAGAATGAGAAGCCAGAGAGAGGAGAGAGAGAGCGGCAAGAATGAGAAGCCAGAGAGAGAATGAGAGAGGGGCAAAGAATGAGAAGCTAGAGAGAGAGAGAGGGGCAAAGAATGAGAAGCCAGAGAGAGAGGAGAGAGGGGCAAAGAATGAGAAGCCAGAGAGAGAGAGGAGAAAAGAATGAGAATCCAGAGAGAATGAGAGAGGGGCAAAGAATGAGAAGCCAGAGAGAGGAGAGAGGGGCAAAGAATGAGAAGCCAGAGAGAGAGAGAGGGGGCAAAGAATGAGAAGCCAGAGAGAGAGAGAGAGAGCGGGGAAGAATGAGAAGCGAGAGAGAATGAGAGAGGGCAAAGAATGAGAAGCCAGAGAGAGAGTGAGAGAGGGGCAAAGAATGAGAATCTAGAGAGAATGAGAGAGGGGGCAAAGAATGAGAAGCCAGAGAGAGGAGAGGGGGGCAAGAATGAGAATCCAGAGAGAGAATGAGAGGGGGCAAAGAATGAGAAGCCAGAGAGAGGAGAGAGGGGGGCAAAGAATGAGAAGCCAGAGAGAGGAGAGAGGGGCAAAGAATGAGAAGCCAGAGAGAATGAGAGAGGGCAAAGAATGAGAAGCCAGAGAGAATGAGAGAGGGGCAAAGAATGAAAAGCCAGAGAGAGGAGAGAGGGCAAAGAATGAGAAGCCAGAGAGAGGAGAGAGGGAAAAGAATGAGAAGCCAGAGAGAGTGAGAGAGGGGCAAAGAATGAGAATCCAGAGAGAATGAGAGGGGGGCAGAATGAGAAGCCAGAGAGAGTGAGAGAGCAGCAAAGAATGAGAAGTTCGAGAGAGAGAGAGGGGGAATGAGAAGCCAGAGAGAGGAGAGAGGGGCAAAGAATGAGAAGCAAGAGAGAGGAGAGAGAGGGCAAAGAATGAGAATCAGAGAGAGTGAGAGAGGGCAAAAAAATGAGAAGCCAGAGAGAGGAGAGAGGGGCAAAAGAATGAGAATCCAGAGAGAATGAGAGAGGGGCAAAGAATGAGAAGCCAGAGAGAGGAGAGAGGGGCAAAGAATGAGAAGCCAGAGAGAGAGAGAGGGGCAAAGAATGAGAAGCCAGAGAGAAATGAGAGAGGGGGAAAAAAGAATGAGAAGCCAGAGAGAGGAGAGAGGGGAAAGAATGAGAATCAGAGAGAATGAGAGAGGGCAAAGAATGAGAAGCCAGAGAGAGGAGAGAGGGCAAAGAATGAGAAGCCAGAGAGAGAGAGAGGGGAAAAGAATGAGAATCAGAGAGAATGAGAGGGGCAAAGAATGAGAAGCCAGAGAGAGAGAGAGAGGGGCAAAGAATGAGAAGCCAGAGAGAGAGAGAGCGCAAAGAATGAGAATCCAGAGAGAATGAGAGAGGGGCAAAGAATGAGAAGCCAGAGAGAGTGAGAGAGGGGAAAAGAATGAGAAGCCAGAGAGAGTGAGAGAGGGGCAAAGAATGAGAAGCCAGAGAGAATGAGAGAGGGGCAAAGAATGAGAAGCTAGAGAGAGTGAGAGAGGGGCAAAGAATGAGAAGCCAGAGAGAGTGAGAGAGCAGCAAAGAATGAGAAGCGAGAGAGAGTGAGAGAGGGGCAAAGAATGAGAAGACAGAGAGAGTGAGAGAGGGGCAAAGAATGAGAAGCCAGAGAGAATGAGAGGGGGGCAAGAATGAGAAGCCAGAGAGAGGAGAGAGAGGGCAAAAGAAATGAGAATCCAGAGAGAATGAGAGAGGGGCAAAGAATGAGAAGCCAGAGAGAGGAGAGAGGGGCAAAGAATGAGAAGCCAGAGAGAGGAGAGAGGGCAAAGAATGAGAAGCCAGAGAGAATGAGAGAGGGGCAAAGAATGAGAAGCCAGAGAATGAGAGAGGGGCAAAAAGAATGAGAAGCCAGAGAGAGAGAGAGGGGAAAAGAATGAGAATCCAGAGAGAATGAGAGAGGGGCAAAGAATGAGAAGCTAGAGAGAATGAGAGAGGGGCAAAGAATGAGAAGCCAGAGAGAGAGGAGAGAGGGGAAAGAATGAGAATCTAGAGAGAATGAGAGAGGGGGGCAATGAGAAGCCAGAGAGAGGAGAGAGGGGGCAAAGAATGAGAAGCCAGAGAGAGGAGAGAGGGGAAAAGAATGAGAATCCAGAGAGAATGAGAGAGGGCAAAGAATGAGAAGCCAGAGAGAGGAGAGAGGGCAAAGAATGAGAAGCCAGAGAGAGAGAGAGCGGCAAAGAATGAGAAGCTAGAGAGAGAGAGAGAGCGGCAAAGAATGAGAAGCCAGAGAGAGGGAGAGAGGGGCAAAGAATGAGAAGCCAGAGAGAGGAGAGAGGGGCAAAGAATGAGAAGCCAGAGAGAGGAGAGAGGGGGCAAGAATGAGAAGCCAGAGAGAGGAGAGAGGGCAAAGAATGAGAAGCCAGAGAGAGGAGAGAGGGGAAAGAATGAGAATCCAGAGAGAATGAGAGAGGGGCAAAGAATGAGAAGCCAGAGAGAGTGAGAGAGCGCAAAGAATGAGAAGCCAGAGAGAATGAGAGAGGGCAAAGCATGAGAAGCCAGAGAGAGGAGAGAGGGGAAAAGAATGAGAAGCCAGAGAGAGGAGAGAGGGGCAAAGAATGAGAAGCCAGAGAGAGGAGAGGGGCAAAAGAATGAGAATCCAGAGAGAAGAGAGAGGGCAAAGAATGAGAAGCCAGAGAGTGTGAGAGAGGGCAAAGAATGAGAAGCCAGAGAGGTGAGAGAGGGCAAAGAATGAGAAGCCAGAGAGAGTGAGAGAGGGGCAAAGAATGAGAAGCCAGAGAGAGTGAGAGAGGGGCAAAGAATGTGAAGTCAGAGAGAGTGAGAGAGGGGCAAAGAATGAGAAGCCAGAGAAAGAGGGGGACAAAGAATGAAAAGAGAGTAAAGAACAGAAAATAGAGTGTGACAGTAATGAAAGAACAGAAAAGAGAGTGAGAATAAAGAAGGAAAATAAAGCAAGAACTGAAAAGAGAGACTAAAGAAAGAACTGAAAAGAGTGTGAGAGTAGAGAACAGAAAAGAGAGAAAGTAAAGAAAAAAAGAGTGTAAACAAAGAACAGAAAACAGAGAAAGAGTAAATAAAGAGTGTAAAGAGCAGAAAAGAGAGTGAAGAAAAACAGAAGACAGTGTGAAGAAAAAACAGAAAAAAAGAGTGTAAAGTACAGAAAAAAGTGAGAGAATACATAAGTGTGAGAGAGAGTAAAGAAAAACAGAAGAGTGAGTAAAGAAAAAACAGAAAAGAGAAAGATGATAAAGAACAGAAAAGAGAGAGTAAAGAAAACAGATTGTAAACAGAAAAGAGAGAGAGAGTGTAAAGAACAGAAAAGAGAGAGAGAATGTAAAGAACAGAAAAGAGAGAGAGAGTGAAAAGAACAGAAAAGAGAGAGAGAATGTAAAGAACAGAAAAGAGAGTGAGAATGTAAAGAACAGAAAAGAGAGAGAGAATGTAAAGAACAGAAATGGGTGTGAGCATAAACAAAAGAACAGAAAAGGAAGATAGCATAAAGAAAGAATAGAAAAGGGAGAGAGTGTAAAGAAAAAACAGAATAGAGAGAGAGAGTAAAGAAAGGACAAAATATATATAGAGAGAGAGAGTAAAAAATGGTGAGAAAAGAGGGAGATAGAAACAACAGAAAAGAGAGAAAGAACAGAAAATTTTAGAGAAGGTAAACAAAGAACAGAAAAGAGTGAGACAGTAAAAAGAGAAAAGAGAGAGAGCATAAAGAAAAAGTGAGAGAGCATAAAGAAGGAACAGAAACGAGTGTTAGTAAAGAAAAAAGAGAAAAGAAATGAGTAAATAAAAAACAGGAAAGAGAGAGATAAAAGAAAGAACAGAAAAGAGAGAGAGTAGAGAAATAACAGAAGAGAGAGAGAGAGAAATAACATAAAAAGAGAGAGTAAAGAAAGAACAGAAAAAGAGAGTGATAATAAGAAAGAACAGAAAAGGGAGAGAGTATAAATAAAATCAGAATAGAGAGAGAGTAAAGAAAAAACAGAATAGAGAGAAAGAGTAAAGAAAAAACAGAATAGAGAGAAAGAGTAAAGAAAAAACAGAAAAGTGAGAGAGAGTAAAGAACAAACAGAAAAGTGAGAGAGAGTAAAAAACAGTAAAAAAAGGAGAAAGAGACTGTAGAAACAACAGAAATGAGAGAGAGACTAAAGAAATAACAGAAAAAAGAGAGAGAGAAATAACAGAAAAAAGAGAGAGAGAAATAACAGAAAAAAGAGAGAGAGAAATAACAGAAAAAAGAGAGAGAGAAATAACAGAAAAAAGAGAGAGAGAAATAACAGAAAAAAGAGAGTGAGTAAAGAAAGGACAGAAGAGAGAGTGAGTAAAGAAAGGACAGAAGAGAGAGTGAGTAAAGAAAGGACAGAAGAGAGAGTGAGTAAAGAAAGGACAGAAAAGAGAGTGAGTAAAGAAAGGACAGAAAAGAGTGAGAGAGTAAAAGAGAGTGTAAGAACAGAGGAGAGAGAGTAAAGAAAAAACAGGAAAAGGAGAGAGAGTAAAGAAAAAACAGAATAGAGGGACATTAAAGAAAGAACAGAAGAGAGAGAGAGAGAGTAAAAACGAACAGAAAAGAATGAGAGAGAGTAAAGAAACAAAAGAGAGAAAGAAAGGACAGAAAAGAGAGCCTGAGAGTAAAGAAAGAAGAGAAAAGTGAGACAGCAAAGGAAGTACAGAAAAGAGAGAGTAAGAAGAGAAGTGAGATAGAGAGAGTAGAGAAAGAACAGAATAGAGAAAAAGTGGGTAAAGAAAGAACAGAAATGAGAGAGATGCAAGAAAAGAAAAAGAGAGAGAGAAATGAAACAGTGTGAAAGGAAATGAGAGCGAATGATTCCATAGATTTAAATTTTAAAGTCATGTGTAAAAAAAATGAAAGAGAAGGAGAATTTCAAAATGAAAAGAAGGAAAATCAAAAAAATCTTTAGATAAAGAAGAGAATAATTTCAAAACCAAACATGGAGAATGTTCAGACAAACTAAAAGGACAGCAAGATTCTCACAGAAAGTGTCAACAAAAAACAGCTGGAAAGGCAGGCAATAAGTGAAAATGCATAGAACAAACAAGAGGTTGAATGATATTGTTGCTAGCAAAAGGAAGTAGTCAATCAAGAAACAGGTAAGTGGTCCCACTTCCCCACCTCCAAAACTTATCCGATCTTCCACAGGTTTTAGCAAACATGTTAGAAATTGACCTATGTGCATATTATGAACTTTGCCGACAAAGCAATTGGAGAGCTCTCACGAGAATCAAGATTCTTGCCTCAGAGTGCCAATTTTCCAAACAGATTCCATCAAAGAACATAAGAACCATGAGATTAGTGGACTGCAAGAATGGAAAAAACGGTAACCCGATTTACATTGCCCATCAAAGACCATACCTATTTACTCCTCGCTTTCTTCCCCAGCAATCTTTCCAAGATAAAAGGGCTAATTTTCTTGTTATAGCAGATATCTTGCTTATCATGAATATCACAATCGAGGTATTGTTTGGAACTTTCGTTGCTTTTAAGTGCTAAAGCAAATGGCCCCAAACCTTCTATTATCCGACACAATTCCATTTAAAACTATACATTTCAACATGCTGAGCAGACAAAGGCTGTGTGCCTTTACATTTTCACAATCAGTATTGATTTATTGCTTACTGAGGACAGATCCTCACAATCGGTTGTATGAAATTGTCTCATCAGAACATCCTTTGTCTGCCATATCTATATTGTGTGGAGAGGAGATTTACGGGGAATTACTGATGACAAAAGCAGATCACATGGCAGATGTTACAACCTATAATCTCCTGCAATTCATCGCCTACAATTAACAGTTGGAGAATTACTAGCTTTGTTAAGATTTTAGAACATTGTCTAGAAGTACATCAATGAAGTTGAAGGAAGAAATTTAAACAAAAATACTAAGAAATCTATTTCCATTTTCAACATTTAAACCTTTTTAGTTCGAAACTATAAAGAAGACAATTTCAATTTTCAACCTTTCCAATCAACCCTGTAGAGAAGTCTATTACATTTACAGCCCTTAAAACACTTTCAGATCAAACCTATAAGACAATTTCAATTTTCAAACTTTTAAACACTTTCAGATCAAACATATAAATAAGACAATTTCAATTTTCAACCTTTCAGATCAAACCTATAAATAAGACAATTTCAATTTTTATCCTTTCAGATCAAACCTATAAATAAAACAATTTCAATTTTTATCCTTTCAGATCAAACCTATAAATTAGACAATTTCAATTTTCAACCTTTCAGACCCCTTCAGGTCAAACCTATAAAGATGTCTGTTACATATTCAACTTTTCAGTTCCTTTTCTTCTACTCTGTTGGATGCAGCTGGCTATTAACTCGTTTTTTATTATATAATTTATAATTATTTGCCAATACATAAAAAATAAGTCAAACTAGTTTGTAATTAGTCATGCCCCAACTATATTAAAACTTTAAAGTTAGCTTTACCTGTACTTCTACTAAAACTTAATCAGCAAATGTCTTGTGCTAAATGATTTTGAATCCCCAAACTTACAATTTAAATAGATTTTTTTTATAAAGGTTGAAAATTTATAATCATAAATAATGGAAGTGAAAAAGAAAATGAAAGGAAAAAACAACATTTTTTGCATAAAATAATATCAATAATATACCCTTTTTTTTTTTTTAATAAAACGTATTTATTTCAACATAAAATATGTAATAACAATATTTCTTATATAATTAAAAGGTATTATTTTTATGCAAAAAGTTTTATTTCATTTCCTATTTCAATGTTGATATAATTTTCTTTTCAGCTTTTGTGACACACAAACATGTAAAAGCCAAGACATTATTTACTATTAATTTTCAAATTAGACTGGAAGTTGTTTCATTCTTCATGTTAGAGACATTTGTCAGTATTGCCCTAACAGAAAGGTTGCTATAGTGTTCTGTTTTTGCCGTGTTACAGCTACACAGGCACCAGTAGAAATCAGTTCATAATAGATTGACATATTTTGAAAAATTGTATAAAAAGATGAAGAAAAAATAGAATGTTTTTATAATACATTTTAATATGGTTAATTTTTAAAAAAATAACCACATATTTTTATTTGCGTGTGTGTGTGTGTGTGTACATGTTGATTTTCTAGCCATCTTCAAGTGAATATGTCTAATGCAGTCCTATTATTGGTTTATTTCTGCTTATGATACAAACATTGCACTATGTTGTACTGTAACAGTATTTATTGCTGATTCAATGAGTTTATTTATTAATTTGTTTTATGTGCATAATCAAACCCAATTATAACTACAGAGCAAAGAATAAATTTTCCTTAAATAACAAATGCTTGGAAAACAATATAATATATGAAGCCACTGTAAAATCAGTACATAAAGAAAAATATACATAGAAGTAACTCAAGGACCTTGGAAACAGAAACTACATGCACAAAACATCCTTTACAATAATAAATATGAGAACAGCACAATGCTTTCAAAACATATATGGGAAATTAAAAAAAGGAAATTACACCAAAAATATCATGGAAAATAAGGAAAACAGCATTAGTTTACAACAATAAATATCAAAATTGTAAACTATCTGAGAGAGAAAATAGCTATAATCATCTTCCCAGACCAACACAAATTACTAAATAAATGATCAGAACTTATCTCAAAATGCAGATATAAAAGATGTTTTTACTATAATACATTAAAAATTGAAAGCTAGAAACAAATGCCTTGTAAAATACCATCATGAAAAACACAAATATATACATTATATACAATGTGCATAATGTAACATACTTTAAACAAAGCCAATACTTTAAATTAAACAAATAAGGTAACAAACCAACAACAAATGAATAAAAAATAAATGAACTAAATAATAAACAAATTAACAAAGTAAAAAATGCACACAAAAAAACAGCATAGCATAATGAAAAAAGACCCTAAACTTAATAAAAACAAAGTTTTATCGTCAAAATGTTTATATTATTATTATTAAGAGGAAAGACCAAAGTATTTTTTTTGTTGAATTTTTTAATCCTTTTTAGTATATTCAACATTTTGGTTAAAAATCTTTTTTTTCTTGCATCAGTGGTTGACATAATATTTACAATTAGTGTTTTAATGCCTTTTTCTGGTGAAAAACATTGATTTGGAAATTCTTGCAAAAATCAAATAATTGTCGGATTTTAATGAAACTTTCAGGACTTATACACAAATTATTTTTGAAATTTTTTTTTTTTTTTTTAGAAAATCTTGGTAAAAATACTTTTTTTCTTTTGCATACATTACACCCACTTATTTAATTTCATGAAATTTTGAGAAATTAAATTTTCAACTGAAAATATTTTTGGAGAATTTAAATCAGCTAATATTCCTCAAATAAAGTTTCAGAAAAATATATTTTAGTTTTGGAAGATTTTTTTAATATAGAGAATTACAATGCAATGAAAGATGACTAAAAAAAGGGAGATATCAGCTATTTAAAAAAAAAATGATTCCAATTAATATAATTTGTTTGAAATACACCAGAGTATTTTGCTTACTGGAAATAGTAAATTTAATCCTTTAGCTTTCAATTAAAGCTAAAATGAAAGTTTAAATTTTATCCTTCTCTTGAAATATTTTTTTCAGCTCAGTTCCATAACGTCTAACATAACTCTTGAACTCGCTAAAAGATGGGCATACATGATGAAAAAATGCCCCAAACTTAATAACAACAAAGTTTTATAATCAAAATCTTTGTTATTATTATGAGAAAAGACCAAAAGATTTTTTTTTATTATTAAAATATGTATTTTTGGTCCCTTTTAGAACCATCAAAATTTTAATGAAAAAAATTCGTTTTTCTTGTGTCAGTGTTTGGCCATTAATTAATATAGGAAATTAAATTAATTATACTTTAATTCAGCTAATATTCCTCAAATAAAGTTTCAGAAAAGTTTATTTTATTTTGGAAGATTTTTTAATACAGAAAATTACATTGCAATTAAAGATGACTAAAAAAGGGAGATATCAGCTATTTTAAAAAATCAATTCCAATCAATATAATTTGTTTGAAATACACCAGAGTATTTTACTTACTGGAAATAGTAAATTTAATCCTTTAACTTTTAATTAAAGCTAAAATGAAAGCTTCAAGAAAGATTTTTCATTTATAAAAAATTCATTTTAAACAAACACATTGAAAATTAGTGGAGGTTCCTACATTAATGAGAAGTAAGTTTGACTTAGCTTCTTTCCATGAATTGCTGCTTTCTGGAACAGACTCCCGAGAGGATGCTTTCCCAATCACTACAATCTTGACCTCTTCAAGAGTTAGCCATTATCTTTTCTACATAACCACATAAACTATATTTCTTACCTTTTCTTATGCTTACATAGCACCACACAGAGTGGCTGTTGGTCCATGTAATGAGTGAACATTAATATATATATATATATATATATATATATATATATATATACAGGGTGGGGCCAAAAGTAGGTATACAATTGTTTAATTATTTATATACTGACGTGACTTTTTCTTTTTTACAGGTATTGTGAATAATGGTAAATAATTTGAGTGGAGAACAAAGAAAGTGGATTCTGAACATTGAAAATGCCGAGCAGGTGTGCAAAACATGGGGAGAAGCATTTGCTGCAATTCCACCAACACAGCTGACAATTTATCGTATAAGAGATAAATTTGAAAAACGGGTTAATGCCCTGAAATCTGGACATCCGGGGACAACTATGAATGAAGTAAAGTAGATAGCAGTGTTAAAAAAATATAATTGTAATAAATAAACATAATAAAATATAAAACAAACTGTAAAGTGTATACCTACTTTTGGCCTACT